GGACCCCCGCACCGAATCCAAAAACAAAAAAAAAATCAAAAAAAAAAGAGCGTGATGAAGTGCAGCTGAGCCAAAGTCAGAGCTCAAGATATTATATTTTTTTTTTGGGGCTCCGCAGATGAAGTTTATTTGTGGTGCAACACATTTGTGGCATCACGAGATGAGCGGGAGACGACTGGCTGATCCGGAGGACTGACTTTGGTCGTTAACCGGAAACCCCAAGCGACAGCCTATAATTTGCAAATTTAATTTGCAACACACGCCAACATGTGACCCCAAAACGGCAAAATGTTATAAATAATGTGCAGTTGCAGTTGCAGTTTTGCACTTTTTCAGTTTTTGCAGCAGTTTCTGCTGTTCTGCTGCTCGAAGTCTTGGTTGTATCCAGCTCCATGGCTCCATAAGATCGTAGGTGTCCAGTGTGGCTTACCTTAAACTAGAAATGCTCGGCTTATGAATGGAGCTGTGCCTCATGAATGAAATCAACTATGGGGCTTGGTCGTCTCGCTCTTGGTCCCCAGCACACACTCGTCTGTCTTTCCGTCCTTCTGTCTGTCGGCCGCATGTTCGATTGCCCCGACTCAGACAATTTTTTATGCAAATGAAAAACGCGTTTTGCGGTTTTTCAACGAAAATCCAACCAATTTCAACTGAACTCTGCCTATAGTTTTTTCTTTTTTCTAGCACTCGTTTGATTTCGATATATTTAAATGATTGCGGTTTGGGATTTGGGTTTGTTGAGGGGTTTTTTTCTTTATCGAGAGAGAGATTCATGTGCGTGGGTTGCCACCGAGTTCCACCAAAACGGCGTCGACAGGTTGACCCCCAAGGTGTGGGCGTTACTCTATCAAGATCAAGAAGTTCACTTAACCGATAGCAATAGATTAGGATCTAGGAAAGGAGTTTAGCATTTGTTGTTATGTTCAAGAGATTAAGGTGTGCGATTAACGAGGTATTAAGAAGTGGTTTTACGAAAAGTAAAAAGCAAATCAGTTTATTGCAAAATATTTATTAAACTATGAGTTATGATAATCTCTAGACAATGGTCTGAGTATAATTTATGGTTGTGTTTTTATATATTTTATTGTATATTTATTACTAAAAAACAATTAGCTCTGATGTTTTTTAGTTGCCAATACGTACCTTACGTATTAAGTGTATAAATCAAGTTAGACAAGTACCAACCAACGTCATTAACTACAATTTTCCCAATTGACATGTTACTATAGTCAAACGATCTGTCTCATTCCCTTAATGCCATTTAAGTCGCATTTAAGATCCAATAAATCCCACGTTCTACTCTTGCCATCAGCTTCTGAGTTAAGCTTGTATTTTTAGAGCCGTGATGCCAATTTATTCCTACTTGAAAGTTGTCAAAAAGTTTACACAAATTATAACTTAACTCGAATGCAAACCGCAAAATCCAAAAATCAGCCCACATGCTGTGGCTTTCGATATATACGTTTTAGAGTTCGGAATCGATTTGATTTGATTTGGCCAGCGGCGCAGACTTGGCGCCAACTTCCAGACCGCAGGTGACAATGCAAAAAAAAAACAACAACAAAAATCAGAAATGATAAATAAAATAATAATAATCAAGTTGACCTATACGAAGCCATTTGTGGCACACTTTTTCGACCCACACGAAAAATGCTAATAGCGAGCTTAACGCAACTTTTGATTTGGACCAGTTCAAGTCGATTATGTTAGCCGCTGTGACGAATCTCCAAATCCAAAGGCATCGTACCATTATGTAAATAGGAGGGAAATGGAGGGGCAAATGCAATCCATCAACTGCATTGTGCCACCAACAAAGCTTGGCCGGGAGCAATCACAATCTTGCCTCCCATGTAAATGGCAATTAAGTTGCCGTCGTCGCAGTCGTGAACTTGTGAACCATTCCAAAAGGCATCATCATCATCATCAAGTGTCTGCGGTCTAGGAGGAAGTTCGGTTCCATTTCCATGTCCACTGGTTCCTGCAATTAATCGCGGCTCAAGTGGCTCGCTGATTGCAATTAATCTTCATTAAGGCCAATGCTGCTATTGCTGCTGCTGCAAATTCTGCTGCTGGCCGTTTCATTGGAGATGTCCTTTGGCCCAGGCATTTGACACAGGTCTTTTACTTTTCCCTCGCCCAAAGTTGAACGGCTTATCCTTACAAACCAATTTGGCGATCGTGAGGTGTTGTTGTCGTTCGCCACAACCGCAACACCAACAGCAGCAGCAACACCAACTGCAACAGCAGCAACAACAGCAGCAGCAGCAGCAACATCGCCAGGTGACCGCACAGCAATCACCTTAATTAAACATTAGGCAAGCCTCGCTGAGTGCCAAGCTTCTGGAGATTGTGTTTGTGCTTGGCTTGGTTTTCTTGGCTTGGTTTCCTTGGGCTTGCTTCGCTCTAAGTTGACTGCTGTGGTGTGGTCCATGTCAGCGATTTCCGTTCGGCACAGGGTAACAAAGGTTGTGCTGCCGCAGCACAGTGGTGTTTGACTTGGCGATAAAAGTGGAGTTTGTTCTAAATGATCTTTGATCTTCATTGATTTTTTAAAATGGATTTAAAGGGGTTTTGGCTTAGTTCATGCTACGAACAGTTTTAAGGGTATTTTCCTTCATCAAAGAAAGCTATTTTATTGCATTTATTTTAGAAACGAGTTACATCTTTTTAGGCAAAGGTAAGCTTCAAGAAATCCTAGAAAACCCGGGAGTAGCTTGTCAGTCCAAAATTCTGCAAGTTCACTCGGAATTCTATTTCAGCATTCCTTCTTCAGAATTTAAGAACATCCAAAACCAATGTGCCCTGTGTGCATTGAGCCCGGATGGTTGCCTTAATTTTCTTGCAGTTTTCTTGGCTGTTGGCTTTCATTCGTTCGTGTTTGTTGTCGGCGGTGTCAACGTCGCCTCTCGTTGACAAATGCTGAAAGGCTTTGTGTGCGATTCTGTCTGCGATTTTCATTGGAAAACGTGGAACGATCACCCAGGTTGATTTGACAAAAGGAGGCGAGAAGCGAAGTGAAATAAAATAAACGGGTCACGTTATTAATTGGTTAACCCTTGCCAAGAGATTTATGAATATTGATTGCGAGTGAAGTGCAACAGCAGCAGCAGCATTCGTCGACGTCTGCCTCCAAGTTGTGATCGCAAAAAAAAGTGGCAGCTGCATTTGGCCCTGGTCTGCAAATCGCTCCCAGATTGAGTCAGCTTCCTGTCGATTAGGGTCACTCGGCTTGTCAGCTGAGAGTGCCTCGAATGCCACCAAATGCCGCAAGCTGGATGCTGAATGCTCAATGTTGAATGTTGAATGCCCCTTCGGTCAGCCGGGGTCATTTCCTGGCTAATTAGTTGCCATGAGAGATTTGTTTTTCTTTTGCCTACTGCTGCTTTTGCTGCTATTGTTTTTTGCTGCCTGCTCTCCATCGGCAATTAAGCGCCGTCGCATATTTATGATATTAATTAATTAAGACAATTTGTGTGGCGTGTCTTTATCTGGAGAAATACGAGAACTGCGATGGGCTTGCCTTTAATTTGCCATAAATGGCATTGGATCCCAGGAGAACGGAATCGTAAACGATCTACATTTATTGTAGGAAATCAGTGAAGCAGAACATGTTTCAAAAGTTGTTTGTAATTCCCAAGTATAAATGAGAGTTTGAATTGGCAATTTTCAGAATGTTTGATAATATTTATAATAATGTTTCTATAGGGTTTTATTATCCACTTTCATAAAAGAATGGCAATAACAAATCTTCACTTTAGATATATATTTATATTTATTTTTTATTATTTGACCAATCCCTTCCCCTTCTTGGTTGACACTTAACCGCTTCAGAGCCAAATTTTTAATTGAATTCAAAGCGGAAATAGCACCGTTAGGCCTCGATCGAAGCCACAAGACGTATAATTTAATTTGTACGCACTGTGGCGCGCTTCCCAGCGCCAACATTGACACACTTTGGGTGGTCTTGGCGCTCTGACTTAATTTTGGCAAGCCGACGACGACGATCCGATCCGATCCGATTCGACGAGCCCAAAAACCAAAACAGAAAGCTAAGAGCTGAAAACTAAAACACTGCAAAACTGAAAGATCCAACCGCGCACTCACGTCGAAATCGAGGCGAGTAATCGATGGGACGTGCGATGGCAGCCCAAGATCGGCGTGTTGCATGTTGCATGTTGTGCCACCTGTTGAAAGGGCGCAGCCGGAGCAAAGTCTCCGAGTGCCGGACGACGCACTGCATCATTTGCAGCTGAAATTTCAATTTCAGCCTTTTGGCAGCATTTCAAAAGAGCGACTGACTGACTGGCCGACCGAATACCAGCCGAATACAAGCAAACCAAACTCAAGTAGACGGCGGGCGCCAAGGCGCCAGCGAAAATTTGCCAGCGAACGGCATTAAAGTGCGCGAAAATCTCATTTTATTTCTATTTTATTTATTGAGCCATTAGAGAGAGGGGTGCCGGAGTTCGGCTGTCAGCTCATTCACAGATTAATTTTGGCAATTTATAGCCGGCGAGATAGTTTTTGAGTAACTGCATCATGGACATATTTCCAACATGGAGTGCACAGACCGTGAGTTATGTAATGAGAGGGGAGGGGGTTACGTTTGGGGGGATGAAACGCCGACCGATCGACAATTTGACTCCCATGTTGGCGACAGACTAACAGAAATGTCACGATACCCTGGGAAAATGAGCCGTCCTGCGTGAGTTATTGATTGGCTGGCGGGGAAAATTGGCAAATTTTTAACCATTAAAAATATTTGAGTTAAATGCAATAGCTTAAATTGCTGATTGACAACGAACATGCTAGGAGTTTTCGCGATGTTCGGTTTAATTGCATTTTTACTGATAGTTAAAAGTACTTAAAGGTGATTTCTCAACTTAATTAAAGTTTCTAAATAAATTTATCAATCTAATCACCAATTTTCTTTTTGATATTAAAGGAATACTTAATGGTCTATCACCATTTTTGTAATCGATTATTTCTGTATGTGGCAAGTATCTATAATTATGCTTCATCGGCGGCACTTGATAATTAAATGTAAGGGGACCCATTGAGGTGATGACTCACCTGTGCCATTGCTGCCGAACCAAAGGGCAACTAGGTCCTCACTTGGCGGCGTATGGTGATGATAGGGATTGCCGTACAAATAGGGACTCGGGTAATCGAGCAGAACTCGACGCGAACCGGGCGATGATGAGGACTCGGCTGGAGGGGTCAGATAGTGGAGTAATGGCTGATCTGGGATGTAATAATGGTCGGGGGTTTTCAGTCCTTACCCTGAGCTAATTGAGCGGCATATTCCGTGGCTTTCTGCAGATTAATTCGCGGTCGCGGTTTCGCAAGAATTTGCTGTTGTTGCTGCTGCTGCTGTATTGCTGGATTCTGCGGTTGTTGAACGGATTGTTCAGTTGTCGGGGGATTATTCGCGGCCGCCGCTGCTGCCGCTGATGAGTCCAAAAGTAGTTGTTGTACCTGCAGTATGTCTACGTATTCATCTAACTCAACGGAAGCCGGTTGTGCGGCAACTTCGCTGGTTGACGACGGATGGTGTGGCGTTGGTGGTGGCGGTGGTGCCGCACCTCCACTCTGATAATAGCCAAAAGCTGGCCCAGAAGCCGTCGCACTTGCCACAGCAATGGGTGGTGCAGGTGGTGGTGCAAATTGCAAAGGATTCCGACTAAGTCCGAGAAGAGGAGTTGTGGGTGTATTTAGCGAATCCTGGGATGTGGCAGCCGATGTGGTATTTGCCGTTGTCGGTGGCACTAAACTTAGATTTTGTGCAGGTATCTCAGGTGGAGCTGCTCCACTCGAAACCGATGATGATGTCGCCGAAGTTGCTGATGGATGCTGTTGGCTTCCTACAATCAGTTCATTTTGACGACGCATTGTCAGCAACATTTTTGTGGTTGGGCGCTTTGCACGTTGATCGATTCGAAAATATAACAAAATAATTTGGAAACAAAAAATTGAAACACGAACAAATTAAACGAGACTCCATTTGTTTGGTAAGCGATCACTTTTCGGTTAGTTTAAATTGAGTTGACACATTTTTTTGCACTTTGTTCACGTTTTTGTTACGGTTTGATTGATTATGTTCACTGTTTTCTTTAAAAATATCGAATCAGTCTTAGCCAATTTACTTTGATTGTATCTTAAGTTGATTGAAGTTTGCGCAAAAGCTGAAAAGAAAAAAAATCTTGTATTAATTTGAGAACAATTAAAACTTAACTTATACGACATATAAAATACAACATATAAAATAGGGAATTAAGCTCTGTACCTTTTTTCTTGTATTTAATTTTATCTGATTTGTAAATTTTGTTTCACCTCTTTTAATTTATTTAATATTTGTATAAGTGTAACACCAAAAAACATTTATATAAAATGCTTAAAGTAAATTTACACTACAGTAGATAAACACTTAGATTTTGATAATCACATTAGGACACTTAGAATAAGAATTTATATTTTTATTTTTTAAAATTGACCCTCAAAAATTCACATTTAAATGGACTTTAAAATTGTTGATCAAAAGATGCTTTATATAATTTCACTTTGCCGGCGGCAATTTATAAATTTTATTTTGTTTGCGATAATTTTCCGACAGTTAATGTTTGCCAAAAAATTACTCGACCGTTTTTCACTTTATTATTTGGCTTTTTTCTTAATTTCTAATAATAAATATTCAAATAAATAATTTTGATTTTGATTAATTAGTTTTTGCGAGACGCGCGCGATTTAGTTATTTTGGCGGTGTTTTTCGATTATTTTGCCAAAAGTTGCGAGACGAGCTGTTGAGCCGTCGAAACGCTACTGGCGCGAGCGGTGAAAATTGAAAATGAAAATGGGAAACTCGGGCCATCGGTGAAAAAAACAACCTTATGAAAACAGCGGCAAATCGGCTGCGTCGGCGTCGGAAGCATCGGAAAATGCCTGAAAATGTGTGTTTAGCTTTTGGCCATCATCTATTTGCCGCCCGAACGCTGTATTGTGCCTCTGTCTGAGTGTAACTTTGATTCTTATTTGTACTGAAGCATCTGGCTCTCGGTCCTGGCCCACACACATTTCTCTCTTTCTCTTTTTCTCGACCAATTTTCCCCGGCCGCCTCAATGTGTGGGTGGCTGTGCGAGAGTGAAAAGCCCGCATTTCCGATTCCGAGCAGAGCAAATGTCAACAATTGTGGGTGGCGGTGGTTGGGAGCGAGTGTGAGAAGCAATGAGTATCGAAGAGATGGGGATAAATGAAAATGCCACTAAACGCGGAGAGCTGCGGAAATTGTGCCACTGAACTTGCCAAAATCTACGTAATAGTTCTGCATTATTGCATGTGTGTATTTTGCAAAAGTATTTCGCTTATCAGCGATGATAAGCAATTTGTTTTTTTGGCTTTCCCTTTCCGTGGCCATTGGCGTCATCACAGGTCGTATGAGTAATTAATTATAATTATTCATACGCCTGTTGTGCCTTATGTTCAAGTGGAGTTTAAGAGGTTAGGGTTTTTCGAAGTGCAGTCAAAAAATGGCCATTTCGGATGATATTTATTAATATTTTTTTGTTTTCAAATAATTTTAATTGTAAATCATAGATTTTAATTCCAGGTCGTATGAGTAATTTATTGTAATTATTCATACGCCAGTTAGGCCTGATGTTCAAGTGGAGTTGAAGAGGTTAGGGTTTTTCGAAGTTCACCCAAAAAACTGCCATTTCGGATGACTTTTTTTAAATTTTTTTTACATTTTTAAAATAATTTTATTTGTAAATCATAGGTTTTAATCACAGGTCGTATGAGCAATTTATTATAATTATTCATACGCCTAGTTGTACCTGATAAGTGGAGTTCAGTATAGGGAGGTTCGTAAATAAGTTAAAATACCAACACTTCGGAATAAATTGAAAATATTTTCAATAGTTAATCTCGATCAAATCCTTAGGTCCTCAAAAATTTGTGTAGAAAGCCCATAAATGCAAATGTATACTCAAATATATTTAATTAGCAAATACAAAACATTTGCTATCTTCTAATGGCGCCATTAAGTTATCAAAGTTCACCTGCTTACCGAAAAGGAAATCTCCGTTAGCAACCTATCACTTAACAACTGACATTTGGCCAAAAAGTTGCGGCATTCCTGGAAATCCAAACACTGAAAGGGCCGAAACACCGAACTTCAGAAAGCCAACTTAAAAAAAACACACAGCATGCAAATGTTAAAACGCCCCCGTTTTTCTCCATCGCTAAATGGCAATTAGAGTTGCACAGCAGCAGCTTCATCCCTGCGATGACATTTAAAGGTTAAAGGTGGCCGCCATCAATCAAAAGAGCAGCTCCCAAAATGGAGGGTCCTCCTCCCTATCTTCTCTATTATTCTTGAAAACAATGGCGCAATAATAACAATAATGAGAGCACAGCAACAGCAAAAGCAACAGCAACTAGCAGGTGAAAACAGCAGAAGGGACATTTTCGACGGCCAGGGGGCTTATCACATTAAGTTTATCCAAGCTGGACCTGTTGATTGCCTGCCTTTATCTCGCAAATATTCTCCACTTGTAGTCAATTTTCTAGTGGAAATAATTTCCCACGTGGGCGTGTAAGAAAATGCTCGACTAGGATGCTAATAGATGCGATTAAACGCCCACATTCTCGGATACCATTGACTAAGAAACGAGGATAAAGGGAGGGGCGGGAGGAGTTTAGCCTGGATAAACAGCAAAAACGGAGCAGTGGGTTAAAGTCTTTAGTAAAAACATGCAAAAAATAAGCTATAATTTACTATAATATTATAGTAAAATTATGTTATGATAATATAGATATAAAATATAAAAATATAAAAATATATAAATATAAAATATGCTTTAAGTACTCATACGCAGAGTGGTCCCCATTGCCACTATAACAAGATAAATGTGTTTTAAGTTTTAGAAAAGCTAAAAGTAAATTCAAAATTCAATTTATTTTTAAATGCGTTTAAGAAATTTTCCAAAAATTTTTTCTCTACTGTTTAAGAAAACGCTAGAAGCTGCTCAAACTTTCCACTTGATAGGAGTCTCGGGAGCTCAAATTCAGGACGCTGGTGCTTTGCCCTTTTCCTCAATTGCCTGCCACGTGTGTGGGATGTCCTGCGGCTGCTCCTGTTGCTCTTTGCTGCCTGCCGGAGAGTTCCTGGCCATGCTCGGTAAATATATGAATGAGTAGAATATGAATTGAGCTTATCAATGAAAAAGCTTTTCGGCATCTGCTCTACTTGAACTTCATTCATGAAAAGTCCTGCTTTCTGTTAATTGAATCAAATAGGGGAAACACAGAAGCTTCATTTGCAGTCCGGTTGAACTTTGGTATTTGAGGAGTCCTGCTTCCTTTTACTTGCCAGGATTCTCTGCTGCTTCTCTGCCCCCTCTTTTTGGGTTCACACAAATGCCAGCAGCGACTCCGTTTTAACAGCACAATTTCGCTGGGAGCTTCAGCTATAACCGTTAAGTCGATGTGTTTAATTAGCCAGGCTGTTTTAACTTGTTGCAGCAAATTTGCGGCTGCCGATTGCCGGTTGACCTTTTGCAACAGGACCAGAACCCCCACACGTATTTTCGCTGCCGGGGAAACGTGTGTGTGCGACATTTAACCTTTTAATGTGACGGCGCTAATTGATTTGTTTTAAGCACCTGTCGAGCATCTAGAGTGAGAAGTTTTATCGCGTGGGTCCTGCACGTCAGCGTCTTTTGTTAACTAGCTAACATTCAACATGCTACTTAATAAAAATGAGCGTGTATGTTTTAGCCAATTAGTTAATATGCTTAAGGAAAATAATTAGTCACAAATTAATGAAGTTCAAGACGAACATACATAGGTTTTAAGGTTAAAATTGTTCAAACTTGTAATAACAAAGAATGTTCTATCTTTTGCTGATATTTTAATAATTTCTCGAAATTTCTATGCATTTTTTTAAAACCCGATTAGCTCTTCATCCCAAATGGGGTCTGCATAAAAATTGTGTTTGGTAAAAGTTGCTCCACAAAATATTTAAGGAATGTCAATGCTTTTCTTGAGAAATGATCTCATTCTTTAGTGAATTTATCGGAAATTTTTTGAAACAACTATACATTTATTGGTTGATAACAAGAGTATTTTATTTTTTTTTTTTTTAAGAGGAATTATAAGTGTTTACAAATAGAGCTGCAATTAATTGACATGTTCGAATTAAAGCATTATGGCAGTTATGAATTGTTCTGTGGCCAAATTACCCAGCCATACTCGTATTTATTTAAGAAAACTTAATTTTCACCCCAATTAAAGGCCATTAGAGGCCATAACGAACGAGCATCTTGCACCCGAGAACTCCCCGCCCAGTGGCAACCATTAATATACTTGTTTAGATGTCGATGGTGGAAGCGCGGGCAATATAGGCTCAGCCGCGATACTTACCAGCCATAAAAAGGCAATCAGATGTCGTCGATTCAGAGGCAAGCCGGCGACGACAGAGCACGCAAGCGCAGAATAGCTACGCCAAGGAATCAAGATTTGGGCGCGTAAATAGGCAGGATCGCTGGGGTTTCCCCTTTAGCATTTTGCCGGCAAAGGGGGGCGCGCGACTGCGTTTGTAATTAATTACGAGGCGGGCCAAAAGGCAAACGCACGCGCGACTCACTGGGACTACTGCAACTAGTGAAACTACTGCCAACTGCATCGGCAACTGCAGATGGCCACCAAGCGATAAGATCCGGCCATAAGAACGTGGCCAAGTCAAAGGAAGCGACGGAGCTACTGCGATTACGCGAAAGATATCCACCGGCTGTAATCGCGATCTTGGCGAGCGAGCGAAACTCAAACCCAAACTCGTTGCCGGCTTTTGCAGATTATGCAATTTTGATTTGGAACACGCAATTTGATGGGCTGGCCGAGATATTGGGCCACGGGGTATCTTTCGGCTTAATTCGCTTAACGATCTCATGCACAGGGCGCGTAAATCGGGCTAAAATATATACGTATACTCCTCTCCCTTTTTGCGTTCTGTGGTAACTTATTAGACGATAATTTCCTTCCGGTTGCTTTTTTTTGCGATTCGAATCGTCGTCCGACTGTCGGCGGTATAGAAAAAATACGGTTTGCTTCGCTTTGCAGCGCTGCCTTGACTGTTTCGCCTCGGTTTCACTGTATCCGTACAGTGTACATGGACTTGTATCTGTGTATCTGTGGAATTGCAGAGTGTGCGTGGCAGTCGTGGGCCGATCATCGCCTTACTTAGAGATCTGTCGCCCAGTTGAGATGCCTCGTCTTGTTGTTTTTCTTGCTTTTGTTGTTCCTGTTGTTGTTGTTACTGCCGTGTGTGGGCACAACTGTACATGCGAACGGGCTAAGATAGCCGTCCCTGTCGCACACATAAGCGGAGGATTGTCGCCGATGGGGCAACAAGCAGCGAACAACAAACACCAAACACCACTAAGCACACACACCACACACACAACCCCCGCAACGCCTCAAAGTGCTTTTCTCTCTCGGTGAGCTTCTATCGCCCAGTGGAAGACTGCAACACCTTTGGATTACTCTTAAGCCGTTTTCCCACACTGAAAGGAAATCTTCAATTGTGTGGATATACAAAACGAAGTTCTTCCAAAGAGCATCCTGAAATCTATATATATATATATTATTATTTAACAATACAATTCTAATATAATTCCTTTACTTTAGTCCTTTACTTTTATTTTTGGCTTTATATGTTATGTTTTTAAAGAAAAATGAACTTAACAGAAAGAAGTCATATTACATTTAAAGCTGTAATATTTAGAGCAGTATTTTCTTGAGTGTACAAGAGCGTGCCAAGTTCTAAGTGTGTGAGTGTTTGTGTGGGCTTTTTTTCAGTCCCAAAGCCCACACACTTTGCCGGCGCTGCTGATCTCAACCCTCAAGGTAGATTTAAGCATCTCAGTGCATTTTGAAAACCCTTTTAGCAGGATACCTCTGCCATTTGCGTCATTCGTTGCACTTGTGCAATCGTTTTCGAACTAGATTTATTGCAGAAGCAGAAAACTGTACAGGATTTTCCTAGAATTGACAGTAGTCAAATTCATCTTTCAATCCTGAAAGCTTTAGCTGGAAAGCTGGCCGGCTAAAAATAACATTAACGAAAGCTATGTGTTCGCCAAAAGCTTGGCGCCCCCTTAGAAAAAAGCTTTGGCCAACGCCACCCACACAAAACCCACATAGATACTCACCAATACTGATAGATTCACGTGGGTGGTTTCATTGATAAATTCGTATCTTCACCTCTCGCTCGCTCAGCTGATTGCAAATTGAATTGCAAAATAATGCAGCTGTGCCTGCCGAAAGAGACAGAACGATGGAAAGGGTGCAGGTGGAGAAAGGGATGAGGAAAGAGACGGAGGCTTTCAAAAAGAAAGAGACAAGGACAGCCCCTTTTTGAGCTGCTCCACTTTAAATGATGTGGGTGTGGATCAAGCGCGGCATTAGATTGTGAATGAAAACTCGAAAAGAGACAGCGAAAAATGACGAGAAAGAGACAGAGCATCCAGTTGAAAACGCCCACTAAGCTCTCCTCACACACACAATAATTTGCTCACAATTTGGTTTCTAATCATATTCATATTTTACCCCCTTCTCCATTCAAAAACTCGACTTCATTCACAAAATGTTTATATATGGAAACTTGTCAATTAGTTCAAGTGTCTTACACTGAGCGAAACGTAAGCCCCCAAGTCAAATTAATTATACTTAGCCGTGTCGCCCACATGGCCATTTGACATTTGTACTCTTATTAACTGTAATTGCTCATTCAGAATGTGACACAAACAACAGCAATAAACAAAAGCCAGCACAATTAGCTCACACCTTATAGAGCTTATATTTTGTCAAAGATATAAGTTTGAGAAATGACATTTTATAGAACAAAGGTTACCCCAAAATTGGCAAAAACAAAAGAGATTGTCAAAATTTGTTGCTAACTTGATATTCCAAGTGATTTGACAATTCTTACTTGAGTTCTAAAGTTGCACAGAAAGGGTTCACTCTTATGACAGTTAAATGATGATAATAAAATTAAATCAATGAAGATTTTACTCATCGGACCAAAAATAAAATAATTGCATTGTTGATATGAATAGTTTAAGGAAAAATTAAAAAGTTAATAACTATTTCGTTGGAATTCCCTATATAAACACTCGGAATTCTTAAATGCAAAATCAGTCTTCACCTTAAAGCTAAGCTTTATGTGTCATCAACCATCCTTCATCACGTTACTTGTTGATTATCTTAAACACATCTTGAATTCCAGCCTTCACAATTGTGACGGCTCTTTTCTTGGTCTATCAACGCGATTGGCGCTTGATTGACCATGTTAAGTCCTTCACGGCAACTGACGCTGGCTTCCGTTTTTAACACCATTTAATGAATTAATGAGAGACTCTTAGGTTCTCCAGACTCCGCAGATTGAAAATATGCCTTAGGGCCAAGAGAAGACGACGACAACGTCTGAAGATTCTGTTGTTGGCTGGTTAGCCAAGGGGTTGCTCATTAAAAAGCAACTCCTCTGCCATTTGGCTGTCAGTCACTCATTCAGTCACTTATTCATTCATTCATTCATTCGTTCGTTTAGCAGAAAATTTACAAACCGCGTTCCATTCATTAGCATTGACTGCCAACTGATGTTGTTGTCGTAGTTGTGGCTTACTTGATGGTTACCCCGGACAACTCCTTTTAATGGGTCTTTCGTTAATATTTTGAAGGATGTGACCAGGCGTTGTTAACACAGTGTTTAGTTTTAATAGAATTGCTTTTAAAATAAGTCATAAAAAATCCCACGCAGAGCATTTGAACAGTGAACATTTTTCTAATGACACGTAATCTAAGTATGAGTAACTATTGCGAAGTTCTTGCATTCCAACATACTTAGTCTGCCTCAATGTTTAAAAAGTATAGTAATGGTAAATAAAATGAATTAATCAATTCAAAGCTGTCAGTATTTTATTAACCCCTTTTCCTTTTTATACCCTTCCAGATTATAATTTCAGTCAGAAGATTGCAACGCAGCTAAAGAGACAACTAAGACCCCATAAAGTGTATTCTTGTCCGGGTTTGCTGAAAATTGGATAAAATTCACTAATTATTAGCCTATAACTTTTCTAATTTAATTCAGATTTTGTTTAGTCTTTATGCATTTGTGATTACTGCAAGGGTATACATGTAAGCTTCGTCTCGCCGAAGCGAGTTTCATTATGCATTTTCGATTAAAAGATACTCTCCCATTTGTGGTATCCATTTACCAAATCATGCTGGTGGTCAGCTGATTTGATTTCGATAATTTAATAGCCTAGAAAATTTCCTTTTTCTAGTCGTAAATTTTCCGAAAACATTTCAATTGGCCTGAGGTCTGTGTGTGGCACTGCGGCATTCGTTTTCATCATCATCAATATCGTCAACATCTTTGGGGTCTAGATACTTATGCATCTAATAAGCGGATATATAAGGTGACACTTTTATTTCGATCGGATTTGCTTGGCTTCGTAGTGATTTACGATAACGCGTTCCATTGATCTTATGCAAATTGATCGAAAATTTATTAGAAATATTTTTTTCTCTTAGGTGGTCATATTTATTGAGCATTTTCTCAATTTATATTGTTTTATTGGGCGTGCCACACAGGTTGAATGGCTAAGATTACAACTTTTAGCCCAAACGTTGGTACTATATATCTCTTCGATCGACGAACATCTCTCATAATAATCGTAACCGAGGGATCTTGGATTAACAGCTTATAATTCCTCAATTAATAAAAGTGTCACTGCCTTGCCTGATTCATAAATCTCAAATTTGACAGAGTCAAGGGTTTCACACGGAAAATAGTTGTATAAAATTTCTATTAATTTTCCAGAGCAAGACCCAAAAATTTGCAATTTCAATTAGAGCAACGCCCTTAAAATCATGCATGCATTGCGAGTGAACTATGTGTGTCACATAAATCAAAACCAACATGGATCCTTGTCTTCTGGCCTGGCGTCAACTTGCTCGGCTCACTTCCTGTGCAAAAAAGCGAAATTTAAATAAATAAATTGAGTTACCACCTTAAAAATGCGCTTGTCAACAAGTTGAGCCCGGCTTTTGTGGTCGGTGGTGTAAAAGTAATTGCCGGTTTGGGTCCAATTACGAAAATTTCACCATTACCTCAATTGTTGGTTCTATGCAAATGGAATCCCCCAGCATTTATCTCATAGTTCTCCATGGCTCTTTGGTGTCTTTGCATGGATGATTGCCCCTACGATTTCTCTATTAGCCATAACCAGGGTAAATAGGCAATTGACTTGAAATTGGCAATTATTTTTTGTCTGTTTCGGAGACAGGCAAAAAGTTAAATGGTAAATAGAGACCCAGACAGACGTCCATATGTGAATGGCTATCCCTCCGCAGTTTCCTCTTGCTTGGCCTCAGTTTTAGCCTCTGACTTTGCCTTCAGCCTCGTGAAAAGCCCAAGCGCATTATGAATGAATAATGTATGAATGAAAATTGCATGCACGTGCCCTCGAGCTATAAAATGTTGCACTCTTCGCAGTTCTTGCTGCTGAAGTATTTGCAAACGAAGAAGTTTCGTTGGAATTGAACTTGGAAAACGGCCAGCCAAGGATTTTTCATTAGGTGCAAGCCTAGATTTTTTATTTTAAGAAGAACCAATAAAAAAAATATTTTCTAACATTCTAAAACATTTGAGTATACTTATACTATTTCACAATTCTATAGGTTGTTGACTTTATAGTTATTTGCCTTCTTTCTAGGCTTAAAGTTTTACAATTTACATAGTTTCCTTTGCCTGATCTAAAACCAAGACTGAAACTGATTTGAATCGATGCTCGAAAAGAGTTCGTCAAGTTCGTCACCTCAGTCTTTTGTTTCGCAGCGCCTCCGTTGATGTCTTCATTAGCGACGTCCAGCGATAAGCGTATTTAATGCTGGAAATTTGTTTTTAATAACCTAGGCGAACGCTTTCAATTAATTAAGTGGAGGAAGAAAAGTCTTTTGTCACCGAATTCATCGGCGGTAGCTAGACGATTTAAATGCAAATCTGAGCTGCCAGTGAGTGCATCGGATCGTTAAGTCGGTTGAAGATATTCAATTTGGGCACTTTGCTGCTTCTTAAGCATTGTTAGATGCAGTTATTAAATTTGACAGTTTACAGTTGGCGATAGCTTTGATGCGATGCCGCCGCGGCTACTAAATTTCTTCGATTTGGAGTATTATCAGCAGCTTGTTTGATTTTCTGGTGCAGCGACGGTAGCAGATGAAAGGCGGCAAGGCAGGGAAAAGCGGCAAGGAAAAGCGATTTCAATTAGCATTTTGATGGCTCTACAAATGAGCGGATAGAACAAAAATCGCCGCCGTCGATAGGCCATTGATAGCACATCATAAACCAGATGATCGTTTGTCGATCGATCCGCTGTTGATCCGCTTCATTACACTCTAAAAAAAATTATATTAAATGGAACTAAAAATTGGGAAGTGTAGAATATAACTTAATGTTAAGGAATTTTTCTAAAAGGTTTTCTAATATAAAAGAAAACTAGTTATAATATATTTCCAAGATACAATAATTATTTCTTATTTCTATAATCATAGTTTTTCAATAATTATAATTTTAATATTTACAAATATATTTTTTAGAAAACACTTTTCTTTCGTGCAAACACCGCTTTCATGAAAAATGCGGCTTGAGTTTGTGTCGCTCACATTATTAAATCATTTGGAATTTATGATACGTCACGCGATTTTCGAAAGACACCAGCCATCAAAGTGGCCTCCAACTGAGTCAGCTATGACAATCTTCGGGGTAATTAAGTTTTTGCCAAGTGACAAATTAATCGAACCGCGGCAATTGCCGCAATGACCGTCTGGGTCCGGCTCGCCTGGCATTAATCAATGAAATGTCAATTGCAACTGCAACTCGGGGATGCAGTTTTACTCTTTTTTTTTGTGTTTTTTTTAGCAGTTATTGACCGAAAACAAATGGCAGGCAGGCGATCGAGCATCGAACAAGCAAATTCAACAAAACCAACGACAAGACGTCAAGTTTTCGGTTTGGCAATAAAATTGTAAGCATTTATCTTGTAGTTCGTTGGCGTTGTTCGCCTGTGTCCGTGGTTTTTGTATTGTGCGTAGACCCAAAATAGGGACTTACTTTTCTCTTTTGCATTACAAAAGTATAGAGTTACCAAACGATTTGTCAACGTTTAGCTAGTTATGCGCCGACGGGGGAAACTGGCGTCGGATCCAAACATTTTGTTAGCTCGTTAAGGTTTGTTGACACTCGTGTTAATGTTTTGTGTTATTTTCGTTGCTGTGTTTTTTTTTTCTTGTCTCGGCAATGCAAATCAACTTGGCAGACCACCTGGAAAGCCAGTTCATGGTTGTAACTTCGTAGAAGAATACCGATCGATTGGTTATTGAAGGCAGGAAATAATAAATTTACTAAAGTAACATAAACATCACCACATAATATTTTATTTCAAGTTACTGCTTTCTTTCTGAAAAGTGCACAAACTTTTGAGAACCTTAAATGAGCTCTAATTATTCATTAGTTATTCGAAATCTCATAATTGATCACCTATCATTACAAGCTCTAATTTCACCTTAACCATGAAAACAAGAGCCACTGCATTTCACCAACTTGAAGACAATATCAAACGCAAGCCGCGTTTTCTTATCGCCGTATTTATGGTCAGAGCGATCGGACTTATCCGACACAGTACACCACTTAAGAGCCTCCGACCTTTTATGTTTAATTTAATTATGGTAAAATCATTTGATGCTAGTCCGCCGCTGCATTTCGTTTAATTTGATTCGATTCGATTTCATTAACAACGCCTGCTTCACGAAACTCCGCAAATCCATATAGTTATGGCTCCGAACGAATTGGTCCGCTTCGATTTGGTAAATCCTCGGTAGTCTTGTGTTCCAATTTCACCTAGAAATTCGACACACTTGGCACAGGTTGTAGAGGTCGGCTTCCCAACGCCATGACGAATTGTGTGCCCCAGTGCTAAGTCATGTTAAATAAAATTGATAGAGAAATTAGGCAAAGCGGCCGAGTTGGCTAGAGTGCGATGATGTTGCGGACCCGCCTTTAATTGGGTCGCATTAGTTTTGGGCCTTAAGTGGTGCATTTGTCAGCGATGAAGCCCCCCGTGTGTGTGCGGCGGCCCCTGCAATTAGTCAATTAATGAAAAACCCATAAATATGCGGCTAACACTCGTCGATAGCCAAAAAGGTCTGTTCGACGGCATCGAAAAAAGCTCTCGGAAATGGCAACTGCAGTTGGTCAGTCGGTCGGTCGGTCGATCTCTCTGCTCTCCTCTGTTGGCCATAAATTAATAGTCCATTATTTCTAAATTTTTGTCCACTTCAAACTGTCGTCGCCGAGTCGCCCAAAGCAAACTGACTGCCCTCGTTTGCATTTTAATCTCTCGATGGGGCGATGGGGGCCACAAATTAGTTCAGACCTGACTTTGTGTTGACTTGCCAGTGCGGCCAATAACTTAGACCGATCGACTCACGTAATGCTGGAAAATGAAAGCAAACTGAGGTCTTTTTACCAAAGACATAGTTTTTGGGAAGAAAAGTTATGTAAATATTGTGGAGGCTGCACGTTTTTAAAAAATTGCTTAATTTCCTTCGCATAAAAGTACGCATGGGTTGAAAAGTCGAGGTATGCTTAAACTCCTTTAATTGGATAATCATTAATAATTAAAATACAAAACTGATGCATTCCAAAATTGGTTAGCAATTTACTATAGTCGTATAAACTAAATAGTTACTTCTTTCAAAAAGATATTTTTACTCAATTTTTCTTTACCCTTGAAACATTCTGGGTACATATACTATTTCGGTTATTTAAAATCGCATTTAATGCGCCAGCCCTGGAGTCATAGAGCCAAAATCCAATGTTAACCCAAGTCAAAAAGCCAAAGCCAAACTTCAGCACTCTTTGCCAGGTTGCCAAGTTGGCCAACAGTTAGGAAGTGCGCGGATCGGGGAGTTAAGTTAGGCAGTCGGCAAAGAGCTTTGGGCACTTTGCGAACTCATTTTCCGACTCAATCAAATCAAATAATTTATGCCTCGCAAAATTAACTGGCCAAGTGAGTGGAGGTCATGCCATATGTGAGGAGAGTCCAAGAAGCACGAGACTTTGGGGCCCAGAGCACAGTTAAATCTTTTGGCTGGCCATAAAGTGTGTTGATTTTTCCATTTGCCAAACCCTAAAGCGCTGCAATGCGAAATAAATAAATTTCCGAGGGAGAGGAGGCCTCGTGGAAAATTGCCTGCAATCGAGGAGTGTTTGCGAATAAAAACGTTGCGTTGCGTTGATTTGGCCAGTGCGTTTTATTTATTTACAACAAAAAAAATTACAAATTCATAGAAAATATTAGATAGTGTGTATATATACAATCCGCTGTTAATGAGTAGCTTTTTTTTACTCAAAATCGAATTCGAAGCCATCCTCCTGGTAATCGTATTCGCTGTTGTCGCAGGTCACTTGAACATATTTGTTGCACTGCCAGTGGTAATATTCCTCGGGTGTGAAGTTGCCCCACATCATGTCGCTGAAAACTTGCAGGGGCTTCTTGTTCCTTTCCAGGTTGCGAATGTTCTCCAACTTGATCAGTTTCTCCCAGTTGCTGTGGTAGCTATTTAGAGCCAAGTGCTCCAGGTTGACACACTCGGTGACCAATTCGAGGAGCTGATATTCCCTCACGATCTCCCAGCCGCTGAAGCTGATCACCTCCATTTGGTGGCAGGGCATCTGCTGGCGCTCCAGGAAGAAGTCGTTGTGATACCAATTCTCACACACCAACTTTCTCAGCTTGGGCAGCTCCAAAACCAGGCTGTTTTGCCAGCGAGCTGGCAGCTGCACCACTTCGTTATTGAGAGCAATCCTGGTTATCCGATCGCTTTTGGCCACCACAATTTGCTGGAAGATGGTCTCCTCATCCGCATTCAATTGCCGGGAATCATCGAATCGTACGGATAACTTTTGCAACTTGGGCAACTGCAATACTTCCGATAAAATGCACTCGACTGTGCTGAGGTTGATTTTCAGTACTTCCAGATTGGGCAACTTAATGTCGGCGAGTCTGACGCAACTGTCGAACTGATCGGTGATGTCGAGGACCCTCAGTGTGGTCATATTCAAACAGATATCCTGCATCCAGCGGCTGTCCAGTGGCACCGAGTGGTACAATGAGTTGAAAATCAGCTCCTCCAACTTCTTGAATCCACGCATGTACAAACCAGATATGTTCATGCAGGTCATAAGGCGTTTAAGATTTGGCAATATCACTGTCAAATCCCTGATATCTTCATCCACAACTGTGTTCGGATTTCCTGCCAATATGCAAGTCTCTACCTTGGGAAACCTTGTGATGTTGATGTCGCACAAATGTGTGATGTAATCGTAGAACTCAGCAAAGGAACCAACGCCATCGTGGACATGGAGATCAGTGAAGCTATCAGCCATGTGTTCCATGAAGAAGACATAGTCCTCGATGTCCAGGATTCCCAGGAATGGTGTATTCGGTCCAATGATCAAGTGCAATCGCCGCTGCCAGAACTTGAGGATCTGGGGCATAAATTGCGGATATGCCCTGGCCATCCTAACCTGATCGCTCAGGTTATCGATCTCTTCGAAGATCTGCTCGAAGAATATAATGTGCAGGTTGTCGATATAGTTCGGTTCCCGTTCCTCCATCGGTGGCAGGCTTATTTCCAGAGCGTCCTTGTAAAACACGGTATTGTGCATTTGAGACATTTTTGTTTTAAGTTTTTTTTTCAGTAGGTGATGAATGCGATGCTTCCTTGAAGGCTGCTGTTGGTTGAATGTGCTCTTGGTGCTTCGAACCCAAGTATTTATGCAAATTTAGGTAGTTGATAAGGGAGTGAGACAGGTAGAGCGGGTGGATTAAACTTTATCCTTATCTCTGGCCCACCGATAGTTAGGCAAGTACATTTGCGACCTAATCCTTTTCGCAACAGCTGCGCAAGCGCAGTAGTTACCTGTATTCTACCTGATCTTGCGGATCGTGCCGTGATTTCGCAGGTCCTCATAAATCGCCCCTCGTACTGCCTGCAATTTGTAAGCGAGTGTGTTGCAGAAAAACCCTATCTGTACAGTTATCGCAGAGAGACTCGCTAGTTTGCATATTACACGAACCCAGACGTGTTCCCAGCCAACTCCTCGGCTCCCTGTTCCAGATTCGAGATTCTTGGCCGGATGCGTTGGACAAAACGTGGTCAGCATTTGACTCGGCCTGGCTTCTAGGAAATGCTAACAACTCTCGCACAGAACTCGCAAGAAAAGAACAGTCCCACAGAACGGATTCTGTGAGCTTCAGCGATCTAATAATCAAAGCCGTGTGTTTTTGTCTGGCAGCTTAGCAAGCGATTAGAGGAATCACAATTGGAAGCAGAACTATGCAGGGATGCACTGAAAGAAGTGATGTATATTATATTTAAATATAAAATAATATTTGAGTTTGGGAAACTTTTAGGATAATTCTGTAACCAGAATTAAAACGGTATAAACATAATAATTATTTATATCCTTTTTTTATTGTTGATTAAATATTTACTTAATTTGAATTAATATTTACTGACTTCAGTTGTTTAAAAACTAATACATTTCTCAGTCGATGATATTTAGCTTTTAGCATCCAAATGTATAAGAATCTATAGTAAATTCTTTTAATTAACTTTCATTTCGGTAAGTGTCCCAGAAGGTTCACACCGTTTCTTGGCCAAACGTGGACAGTTCTCCCCAGTTTCTCATTGATAATTTTTGGATACCCCGTTGTTGTCAATTGTCGTTGCATTGCCTTTTGTCAGGGACTAATGGCATTGTTATCAGCCTTTTGGTTGTGTCTATGGCCTGTCAAAGCATAAAACTCGGGAACAGACAATGCTGACAGTCTTGACTTGGGGAGGCAACTTAATGTCTATATAATGCACATTTATGTTTTGGCCTGGTTGGTGAAAATATTTTCATTTGTTCATATTTTTCAACAAGTTGTTTGGTACACCCCAAACTCATATTCATAAATTCTCAGCATCTCTTTTTGATTTTTTTTATTCATCATTTTGGGAAAACGTTGCTTCACACGAGACTTGAAAACGGGTTGGGGAATGGGGAATCGGGGATATCTCTCTGATGCAAATGCACTTGTCTCTGCTGTTCGGTTTTTCGGCTATAGTATTTTTGGTTTGTTATTTGACTGTCTTATCTGAGATCAGTGTCGATCAAGCCAGCAGACGAATTGTGAAACATGACATACCCGAGTACGTATGAGAAGTGCATGGGGAGTTACTCGAGACTGTTTTAATAATTTTGACGTAATCACATCACAACAATCTACCGTGGAGTTCGTTCGTTTGGCTTTGGCTTTTTCACTTTGTCTGGCTCCCAAGTGGACAGTTCTTTTTAGCCTCGATCTCTCTCTGATTTGTTCATTTAAATGAATTACAATATTTTATCTTTACACAGAGATCGTTGGAGCTTTAAAACCTTGCTCACATTCCTGTCTCTCTCTCTCTCTTTATTCACAGGTAAATGGAATCAAGAAGTTGAGAACTTTCCAAGCAGCTGCCTGAAATTCCTATACTCATAAAATCCGGCGGACACAAAAGGCTCGGAGGAGAAAAGCAGCTGCCACTGCTAAATCAGGTAAAGCCCTTTTGGCCAAATTACTTCACACCTCGAAACCAACGAGCCAACACGATCGGTAGCCGCTGGTAAGCAAGGAAAAAAAGGGAAGTGCACGTTTTTTAATTCATTTGTTCTAAAACTTAATCAGCCAGCTGCGAAAAGAGGAAGACTGCGTTTTTGGGCAGAGACAAGAAGTCGTGATTGCGCAACTCATAACTCACACAAGCCAACTTGAACTTGGCTTTGCTTTTTCGCCTTTTCCCTGCCTTCTGCTGCTTACATTGTTTAATTAAAAACGAGGCTGTTGTTGCTGCTGTTGCTCCTGCAACACGTACCAAGATGATGACAACAACGGCTGCAGCAGCAGCAGCAGCAACAGCAGCAGCAACTTGCAACGGCAGCAACATCAAGACACACTCTTCAGCTAAAGGGGCAGCACTTCAAGTGGCTCAAAAGGACGACACGTTTTGGCTTCTGTGTAGAGTTGTGTTGTTAGCTGCGGTTTGCAGTTGCAGTTGCAGTTTTAGCTTGCAGTTGGCTGCTGCAGTTCGCCACGGTGAAGTGGAAAGCAGTAGCTGCAACAGCAGCCACAAGAGGCGCACCACTTGCCACAATTACCGAGCGGGGACTTTCAGCAAAAGTCCGGAGTTTGTCTGCGGCGGCTGCTTAATTTTCAGACAGCCTGCGATTATATTGCTCCAGAAATATACGAAAATGATGGTTGAGATACTCTATTTCAAAGGGTATAGTATACCAAAACATACAGCTTGTGCTTATTTAAATTTAGAAGGGATACAAAAATGGAACTGCTAAAAATTATCACAAATAAAATAACCCTAAAACAAGAAGATCTTTTTGTAAAGTGAATTGGAATATGAATTAGTTTAAAATAAAATTTAATTGTTTATTGCATTTTCAAAATTATCTGTAATATAATTTATTTTTGACGTATCCAAGGGTATAACTCATTCGTAATTTAAATAAAAATAACTTTGTTCAGCGCGTGGTGTTTATAATTCGCGAATCATGTTGCATTGTTCGGGGCGTCTGGTGCAGCTTTGGCTTCGGGTGATTCTGTTTCTGTTTCGGTGGCGATGATGAGCAGCTTCACTTTTATGGGGCTCCTGCAACCTCCAGCCTGACTGGCCCGACATGATGGGGCACATTTGCCATGGACTTGAACTTGGCTCCTGTGAGCTCGGCTCGCCTTTAACAATGACAATTGTTACTGCCGCAGTCGACGGCCGGCTGCTGATTATTTTGACTTGATAACGAGCTAAACAATAAAAACAAGCATCAGCCCCAAACAAACTGAACAGAACTTTTCGCCAAGTCATGTTTATCAGAAGACCTCAGAAGACAGGATTCATCCTCGGGATTTTGTGAGTGTGTATTGTAATCAATTTGAATGCCTCGGTGGTTTTTTATTTGGCTGAATTCGAGTTTGTTTTGCTGCTTGTTTGTTGTGATTTCCTAAGTTGTTGCAATTATGTTCGGTCTGTCGTCGAAGTTTTTTCCAGCATAAAAGTGAAAACTAATTGAGGAGCATGGTGGAATCCGAATGCAAACAATCGGGAAATTAACATGTTGTCAGTTGAGGATTTGATGTGTTTTCCTTGTGCTACTTTAATGTTTGGTAGCACTTTGTGTCATTCGACACGTTTCCTTCTTAGCCGTCGTAAATTGGCGATCCATAAACTGGCCCAAACAATAAGCGGCTAACAATCGCTAACAAAATGTGGAGCGTCTATGATGATCATGATCTCCTTTGTTGGCACCCCAAACCCGATTTGCATAAGAATGCGACCAACCTGCGGTGGTAGCTGCATTTGCAGCTGCATTTAGTCACAAATGTTTCTCGGTCATAAAGTTGCCAGAGTCCCCGGGCAACCGAAGCCATCTCCGAACACTCGGATGTCCCCCAAATGGACTCCAGATGAAGTGTATTGTGCTGCTCTTACGGAACGGATATCTATTGTATGCTTTTCGGTGCGATCTGATGTTCGGCGGTGAGATGAAATTTATTTTAGTGCTCTTTTACTGCAAATTGTTTTGCTTCTGAATGTCCAAACTATCGATCTGAGATTTCAATTCTATGGAGCTTTGATTGTTTTGCTTCTGAATGTCTTAACTATGGCATCCATTTCGGCTCGTTAAAAATATAGTTTCTTAAGTGGTCTTTTCAAGTTGCAGCGATCTTTTCAAAACAAAAAGAAAGACTGTTTAGTATAATATATAAATGTATTTCATCTGAAGATGGTAATAAAATAATTTTAAAAATTAAGTTTTCCAAGTAACATTGCTTATAAAGTTTTCCCATCTTCAAGTTCTCAGTGATCAGTTTCAATTACTCATCCAGAAAATTTCTGAAAAGACCCCACAGACGGTGAACAACCCCCTGATCTCCACACTCTGGATATTTCATGTTTTCGCCTTCGTTTATCATTGTACACTTGACTTGACCTCCCGTTCCAATTCATAAATCAACAAATCATTAATTTTTCACTCCTCCGGGTAAACTACACGCCTGAGTACCTTACCCATTTCTTCGGCTCGGAAATGGAAAACCACACCGAGATCATGGAAAGCGATGAGGAATGGGCAAGAAATGAGAACCCTTTCGCAGTGGGAAATCTTGGCTCCCACAATTAATCAAAGTTGAATTCGGAGCTAGAGGCAATGAAATGGAACACGCACACCCAGATAATTTGTTTATTGATCCATTGTGTTGAGTTGTGGATACGAGAAGTATAATTGAACATGCTAATTAAATGTGGGACTCCGGAGGGGAACCTTTCGTCATGGAAATCCATGGGTTGTGACCCCCACACTACTGAATGTCCGTATCCTGTCGGTCTTTAAGATCGCATACCTCCTTTTTCTGCGGCATGCTAAGTAAGATCGCTTATCGCCGGTTCTTAATAAATATCAGTGCAAGGCGATAGCACTCACACTATTTATTATACAAACATATTGTAGATTGGCCGCTTATCGGTGCATATGATCAGTCGAGTATCGAGTATCCCCGCCGCAGACTTGCGATCCGATCCAAACCAACGATCGACCATCGACGGCCGATCGACGATCGCCGATTGATTGATAATAGCACGAGATGCTGTATTACTGTACGGCAGAACGGGTTGCCCCAATGGAAAGAGAGCAAA